CTGTACATGAAACCCTCTGCCCTGCTGCCTGCCTCATCCTGTTCATCAACAAAGAGGGTTAAAGTGCCACTTTCTGGGAAGCTTTCCCCTTAATCCACCAGTAGAGAGGGAAATATGTCTAGCTACCTTGAAGCACAGTGATCCTACACTTCGTTTGGTCACAGTCCCTCTTTGACAATGTGTTGAAGGTGGATGTCCTCCTAGAAAAATGTGTGCTCTCAAAAAAAAAAGTCAATATAATTCAGTGGGTTCTACAACTTCTAAGGACCCAGGTTAGGAGAAACGAATGAATACTTCATAGGTAGTCAGCAGCACATGAAAACGTGACTTCTGTTTTAGTCTTGCTGAAGATGGGCTCTTTCCTCCTTGTCCCCTGCATATGTTATACAAGAAAGACCTGGAGCAAATCTAAATCCAAGGAAAGAATCAGATGAACCCAAATGCCACAGCCATGAGATGGTGTGTGTATGTCATGGACTGACTGCAGTGTGCAGATGCCATTCATTAGGTGCTGGTCACAGAACTGTACCTAGAATAATGGTTAAACCCCAGGATAAGGTCTGTGTTAAGCAGGGAGAAGGATCAGGTCTAAGAGTGTCTCATGCTAACTAAAAATGCAATGATGTTTCTCACTTTAGTTACTTCCTATGTTACTATGAGAAGGGCAGTTTCTCCTTTACATCAGTAAAATTTACTGAGAATAAGTACTAGCCTTTAAATTGTAGAAGGGTAACAGTAAAACCCACTGGATCCTCCCCTATCAGATCTTGTGTCTTGCCTACACTGTTTCAGTTCAACCTTTCTGGAATAAAAATCATTGAATATGACAAGATTTTGCTTTATGATCTTTTATCCATCATCTAGAAAAATATCTTAACATAAACAATACAAGTTCAGCTACATCTACTCTGTACCTTTCCATTTCTTCTTTCCAGTTGTCCAAAACAGACAGAGGACTAAGAATCAGAAATGGTCCTTCATCATTTAACCTTCCCGTCAAGTAAATGAGGAGAGCAATCGTCTGAAACAAAGCAGGCAGTTTTGTTCACCTTTCCAGGAGACACAACCATAAAGTTCCCACAACCATAGGCAGAGAACACAAACTGTTATACATGACTTGCTTTATAAAGAAATTCCATACAATCTTCCACATATTAGGAAACTAGTACATTCTTAGAATGACATCAGGTAAGCTCAGTGACTTTGCTAAGGAAATTGATGGTGTTCAATTACTTCAAGAGTTAACGAGCAATGAGGCTCAATATTTATGTAACTGAACCAAAGGGAAAAACATCAGGAAAGAACAAAAATCAATGAAACCAATACACTTGTTGGAAAACAGCAGGAGTACTTTGAAACTATTAAGCCAGAAGTGCTAAGACCTGACAGCAAACAGTACCCGCATATCACAGCCTTGGCCCTTGGCTCAGCTGCTCTGATGAGAGTGCTTTCCTTCCTCCCCAATTTTCTCCCTCCTTCTATAACCATTTAGAGGGAGCCTTCTACTGGCTTAAGTTCTAAGCTCAAGTTATATGTGAACAAAACAGATACAACCTTTGGTCTTTCATAATGGGTGCATTATAATCATACTGTATAGCGAGATCCATATGTCATAGTTGTACATGCATATATCTATAACACACATTCAAATGCAGAAAACAGACAATAAATAATTCTCACAAGAAGTAGGAGTATGAAATGAAACTTTGCAAAGCCAAATGTGCATACTTCAGGACATGTTTGAGTACACTTATGTCTCTAAAGTTGATCTCAACAAAAAAACACACGTGAAGAGCTTGCATCCCCAAATACTGTGCTATTTCTGAGGAAAAAATATGCCCTAAGGATCAAATTTAAAATACTGAGAAAACTATAGGCTCAAAGGTGTTCCATCAAAATTAATTTAAGTAACCCCAAAAAGGGGAAACTCATGATTCCTCATCAATAGGATGTTTAAGCAAATTATAAATTCTCAATGCCAGTTGAATGATTGTGAATATAATAAAATGCAAAACTACAGTTCCAATTTTACATTAATGAATAGAAACCATATAGGCTAGGCATGCACTGTAACTTCAATGATGTAAAACATACCTTGCTGCTTATGGCTGTGGTTAGAGTGCTGTGATGACAGAGTGGCAGTTCATTTTTTTTGACACAATCATATTAATCTTATAAAGGAAATGATTTTCTCATTTAACTATCCTAGCCCAAATTGTGCCCAGAGCATCCCTCTAATAAGTGGCTTAACTGGATTAAAACCATTCTGTTGAGTGCTCCCTGAGGAAGCAATTTAGAGAAAGTTTGTCTTTTATTACCACAAATCAGAAGTGTCTACAAAATAAATTCACTAGTGAATTTTATCAAACATCTAAAATGGAAATGAGAACAATTTTACATAAACTCTTGCTGAAAATTAAAGAATTCACTTTTCAATATATTCTATGAGGCCAGCTTTACCCAAATACTAAAACCAGACAAAATTAGTATAAAAAAGGAATATCACAAAACAATATCCTTCATAATGTAGATGCAAAATTTCTAAACATTGTTTTACCAAAACAGACTTGGAGTTGGTATATTTTTAGAGAATTTAAAGTACAGGTGGAAAGGCAAAGGACAAGTGGAATTTGCTGGCTCTCTGTGAAGTCAGTAGGACAATTTCAATGACTGGGACAAAGGAGATTATAGGGAGGATACCTCCAGGAAACTGATTTTAGTTTCATATTTCTCGTTCAGGAATATACCAGGAACAGATTTGTTTGCCCAAGAGAGAGAAGTGATGAATTTCAGGGGACCTTATATAAGTGGTTGCATTGTTTCTGAATAATGCCAAGATTGATGAGGTACATCTGGCCTAAGTAAAGGAGGCTTCAACATATGATCAGACTAGCCTATGTGCACCGCTGCTCCAGCTTAAAGTTTATATATATAGTGAGCGCTGGAGGGGATAGTTGAACTTCTAAAAGGATGATGAGACCCTTGCTCATTCTCTCCAGTGACCACTGGTGAAACTTTCCTGGGATTGAAAAGTTTTTATCTTCCTGATTTCTGATCAAGCTGCCTCTGACATATATCATGATTATACCAGGATATCTTTTGTATCCTTCAGATAAGTAATCCTTATGTGATTAACCCAAGAGGTGTTGTGACTGAATTTTCCATTAATCCAAGGCCATGTGTCAACCCAGGGCAGTATTGCTTATTATTCTCGCAGAAGCATCAATTTCAACACTCCACCATTAATCACTAGATCAATGCCCGAGGGGGCCACATCTCATTCTCCCCTTTTAAGGTCAGAGAGTCTAAGTTTTATTTTGGAAAGCATAGGGTACTTCCTCCATATTTCTCTATCACTGTAGAAAAATGGACAGCAGCCCAACCCCAACCCACCCCCACTGAGAAAGAGAGAATAATATTAGAAGCAATACAGTTAACTTCATATAGTGTTACTAAGGAGGACAGTCAATTTGGTCCTTGGGCAAGTATACATGCTTCACACAGAGAAAAGCCCTAAATCTGAGCCCATTAACTTCACTTGTAACTCAAGTAACTTTTCTCACAGACACATGTCAATGCTCATATAAAGGTAATGACATAGTTAATAACTGCCCCTACAACTAGAAAAATCAATCCCAAGGTTGTGATCTCTTAAAAGTTAAGCATTTCGTATTCTAGTATATATATACATATACACACACACATACACCATCACACACACACATATATAACAGCACTTAAAGATGGTATTAAGCCAGGTGTGGTGGCACATGCCTATAATCCCATTGGCTCTGGAGGCTAAGGCAGGAGGATCAAGAGTTCAAAGCCAACCTTACCAATTTAGCGAGGCACTAAGCAACTAAGTGAGACACTGTCTTCAAATAAAATACAAAAAAGGGCTGGATGTATGATTAAGTTTTTAAGTGCACCTGAGTTCAATGTGGGGTACCAAAAAAATATATATATGGGAATGAGTTGTGAGGAGGTGTTTTGGTGTAGATAAACAGTGCTTCTTCACAGTAACATACCTGGCAGGTCTTACCAAGGCCCATCTCATCTCCCAGGATGCAGCCATTTTGACAGTGGAATCCCTGGGCTAGCCAGTTGACTCCCTTCAGTTGATAAGGGTGTAAATGAATTCCTAGAAATAAAAAATAGAGCAAAACCAGAGAGTAGACATTTCAGCACATATGTGGGCTAAGCTCTAAGGCTTTGAATGAAGAACATGGCTTACATTCCCTTAATGTCAAACTTTATTGGCTCTATCTTTTATTGGGATATTCTATGTATACAAACATTAGCTGATTTCCAAATTTCTTTTTGGGCAGACTTGGGTTACCATTCAAAGCCCTGAAACAGCCAGTCACTGTTATATAATCTTCTTGATCGATGAGAAACTCAGCCTGGAATTTGTTCTATAATACCCAGTCTCAAGCCACTGTCCTTTTCTGGAAATAAGTATTCCTGGAAGTGATGTGACAAACAACACATGGACTATTCATATGCTTGCTTAATGGCACTCATCTAAATCTGCCATTCCTGCTATATTGTCCCTTAAAGAAAAGGGGGACAGTAAAACATCATAATCCTGAATGTTCCCTTTCTGTTTACAAACATCTAGCAAATTTAAGGGACCAATGAGATCAAGCCTAGGCTGGAAAGTCCAGATACATATCATCTTGAAGGACATTGGCTTTCTCTATGCACACTGGGAACTAGGGCAAGTTAGTGTTATCTGTAAAAAAGCTACTTTCTTGCATGTATGCTGGTCATACACACAAACTAATGCTGATGTCACTGCTTCCTCAGTCTAACATGTAAGCCTCCTTCCTGAATGGGGCTGGGCAGAGAACTGAGGGCTCTGTGGAAAGGATACATATCACTTGTTTGGCCAGAGCCATCAGGCAAAACACCAGGAGCAAGAGAGGTACTGCTTGGAGAAGTACCTTCAGGGACCCAGATGCTATCTGTTCAGCCTGTTGCCACGGAACTCTTCGTGGAGCCGTCATTGATCTGTTAGAAGTTTTCCTGGATAAACCATATCTCCCATGCTGTCTCCAGCACCTTATTTGGCCTCCCCACAACCTAGTACAACTGGGCTGTGGACTGCCCCTGCTAAAGGACAAAATGAAAACAGGACTACACTGTGCGCCAACAGAGAAGCAGGGTTAAGAATGGAGACACTGCTACATAAAGGGTGTTTAAAACTGAACAAGGATGGCAAGACACTATAAATATTTATATTATATACATATATATTATATATATAATATATATTATATATAAATATATAATATATATAAATATATATATTATATATATATATATTTATAATTATATCTATAAAATAGTCAAAAGTAAAAGGTTGATGGGATGGGGATGTAGCTCAGTGGAAAGAGCACATGCGTCACACATATGAGGTCCTGGGTTCGATCCTCACAAAATAATAAGTAAAAATAAAGATATATATTTTTAAAAGTAAAAGGTTGAAGTGGTGGATAAAGAGTGACCCTCAAAGAGTTCATGCACAGACCTCAGAATCAGTGAATGTTACCTTATTTGGCAAAAAGGACTCTACAGCCCTGACTAAGGTTGAGGGCGTGGAGGTGGGAAGATACTGAGTTACCCTGGATTACCCAATCTAATCACTCACACCTTTAGAAAATGGACCCTTTACCAGATATGATTAGGAGGAGGTGACTATAATGAGGCAGTCCAGGTACCCTCGCCCAGAAGACCTTGCCATGATTAACCTTCCCCTCTTGTGAGATCAGGATGCCTTGCAGTTTGAAGTTTCCTCTTGTTCTAAATGATCTGTTGGCTCTCCAGAGTCAGATCTCTGTTCTAAAACTCCAGTCAATGTCTGGGCTATGATATTCTACAGAAGTTTTGCAAGATATTATCACTGGGGAAACTGAGGAAGGTTCCATGGGATCTTTTTTTTTAAACTGCATGTGAATCTATGATTAGTATATAATAACATGTTTAATTAAAATGATATGAAACTATACAAATATAACAATATTTAATACTTAGAAGATGACTGCAAAAGTAAAAAAAAAAATTATCCAAAAAGAAGTTAGACAGAAAAGGATTTAATATAGGGAATTAGGTCACTATAAAATTTTTTGTTGGAAGGGCTGGAAAAGCAGCCCCCGGTTTAGCTTCCTGGTACAACTGCTGGATAACCATCACAGAACTGGCTCATGACGGTGGTATCTACCTCCAGGACCAGGAATCCAGGAACCCACCAAAGGCATAGGCTATTTCCCCAAATGTTTTACAAAGAACACACACGACTGCTGGAATCAGGAAAAGAAAAATCTTAGCTCACAGTTTCCCAAAATATCCATTTACTTTAACAAACAGGATGACCAGTCGCTACCCTTGGGTCCAGTGTTCCCCCTCTTCCCTGCACTGCCTGGTAGTTTACACCCCGACTGCTCTTCCCAAAGCTTCCCTGGTGACCCGCCACCTCCGCAGTCCCCTGCAGTCTCTCCGGGTCACTGTGGCGGACCAGCCGCGCACAGAGGCCACTCTCCACCCGCCCACCACCCTCTGAGGGAAGCCGGCGGCGCCTAGTTTCCCGAGAGCCACTGAACCGCGGGTGGGACCCCACAGTCAGAGGCGGGCCGAGCGCTCTCCACCGAGATGGCCGCTCTCCAGGCGGGAACCTCCGGCGCGCCCCATCAGCGCTTCCGCGAGACGACTGACGGCGACTCC